GCTGTTGCTGCTGTTGCTGCTCTGCTGTTCCTCCTGCCCGCTCGTGATATCACTATTCCTACACTAGTCTCACCCTCACCCCCGTTGCCTCAACCCCCCACCCACCCCACACCCAGGGCCAGCCACAGGTGTGGTGTGCAAGGACTACGACCCAGAATGTTCCACGCTGCAGAACGCATGTGGAGTCCTTGGACTTGTAGATAACCTCTGCCCTCTCACCTGCGCCGTCTGCAAAGGTAAATGTGTGTAATAATAGTAATTATAATGATAAAAACAATGATGATGATGGTAATAATACTAATAATAGTAATAATAATAATAATAATAATAATAATAATAATAATAATAACCTTGATGATGACGATGCAATTTTATGAATATTTTTTTAAAGATTAATTATCTCATGAAAGAAGCTGCATTAAGACAATCTTGAGACCATCTTAAACGGAATTGACCTTCTGCATAGACGAAAAGAGCCATATATCTTGATAACGACTCCGAAAAATCTTATGAGTTTGATAGACTCGATAGAACATAAAATTTGGATACTGGCCTCATGGTCTTAGTAACTCAAAAGGTTCAAACATTGTCAGATAAAACTTTCTTATTCTAAGGTAGCGGAGTGTCATGTCCCACAACATGTTATCTGCCCTGTTTATAAAATAATTCTTTTTTTCTTTCTTTCTTTTCTTCGCCAGGACCACGTAAGTATTACATTATATTATACTTTAAAGAACAATTGTTCACAATAATAATGTTTAAATATGTTGAACAATTCTTGACAATAATAATAATATTCAATTTTATATTAACATATTATACATTTTAAATATAATATTGATTTTTATATACATATACATTGAGTAATACAATGTCAGGGTCAAAATTTAAAATTCCTTACGAAGCATACTACTTAATTCAATGCCATTTTGATAGCAAGCCTCTTTATTCATTGTGCTATTAAGTTTTTAAGTGGGTGGTTGGCGGGTGCTCTGGTGTGGTTTACTCCTTTCCTATAAAAAAAAATATCGTCTCTATCTCCCCTCTTTCTTTTTTGTGTTTGTTATTCTCTTGTAACACATCTAATCTTCTGGCGCTCATAATATGACCTTATGCAGTTGCGAATGCCGTAAAACCTCTACTAAAACTAAAACTAAGTTTTTAATGTTGTGTGCATGCCTTTATTTCTTGTGCTGCGAGAGTAGGAATGTCGTCTTATAACATAATAATCTGTGTTGGCGTTAATCTAGAGAGAGTGTTTCGTTGAACTTGAGGGAGCTATAGAAATTATTACTACAGTAGTATGCCTCCATGTTGTTGTTGTTGTTGTTGTTGTTGTTGTTGTTGTTGTTGTTGTGATGTTGGTTGTTGCTGTTGCTGTTGTTGCTACTGTTGTTGTTGCTGCTTATGCTCTTGTTTAATCTTTGTTCTCCTTCTTTTTGTTCTTATTCTTGTTCTTGTTCTTGTTCTTGTTTTTGTTTTTGTTCTTGTTCTTGTTCTTGTTCTTGTTCTTGTTTTTCTTC